TGGTTTGACCGCCCCTAGCTTTCTCCCAACCTACTCCTACACCAAAAAACATCGCTCGTCGAGGCAGTCGGTGGTTGGACATACGTAACACATGTCCCAACCGCCTTAACTAATGAAGTTTTAATACATCATTAGTTGTGCCGCCATACTTACCTAGTAAACGTTTCTTAACAACATCGCTTACTCGATCATCCCATAATGCTCCAGCAATGCTTCGAAGACACATGATTAAATACTACTACTCATACTGCCCGTATTTCACACACATTGAGCAGGAGACTCGTCCTTCGGAAAAAGCCAGTCCAGCCGGGCCTTCAGAATTGATGGGACATCAAGATACGCGATCAACACATTCAACTACTTCACTCCCTACCACCAGTTCAGCTACTGATGCAAGCCAATCCTGAGGCGACATTTTGCATTACGAGGTGTAAGACCGCATCCCGAATATGCTTGCATTGTTGCTCAAGGTAGTCAGAAGACTCTGCATTTTGTCAGCGTCTTCGCCTAATAGGACTATATCATGGGCACATTTCATATCAAAAGCGAGCCTCATAGGAGTTGGTCATCTGTTGACAAATCAGCTGATGAAAGACTCGTATCTAAGAGCAATTCAATAACAAAGTTGAGTAACAATGGGGAAAGTGAACAACCCTGAAAAACATCACTTGAACTAATCGAATCCGAAGACAGTTAGCTTTAAGTTCTCATTCAACCGATACTTAAACACTACCGGTCGGGTGAGAGCATATGGTGTGACCTTAGTCAGACAACCATTGACAGTTGCCGAGATCATGTTTCTTTGGAATCTTATTCAGGTACCCTTCTCTCAAGTCTGTTGGTATTTGTTCTTGATCCCAAATCTTGTAGAAGAGAATGTGGAGTATCTTAGCGGTTACTGTCACATCTGCTTCTAGTGCCTCAAGCTCGAATGTTGTCTCTTGATTTGTCCTACAGCGCTGCTGATCTCCTTCATTGGCCAACATAGATTGGGAGGTCCGTGGATGCTGCTTTGATGCTAGGTTGGTACACTGGCGCTGGTTGGTTCAAGAGTTTTTCCTTCAAAATGCTCTACCCACTTCTATGTTGATGAATACGTTGCATTCCTTACTTTTCACCAGCCTTTCTAGTTTACGATATTTTCTAACGAGCTGTTGCGTCATGTCATATAACTGTCTACTGTTTCTTTCACTTGCAGCCTTTTCCGCCATCAGTTTTTGTCAGTTCTGATGTTCCGCTCCACTTGCATGCATTTTTCTGTGTATTCATCTTGTGCCTTGGCTTTCTCTGCCTCTTCTTAGGCTGATAATGATTACTGCTTTAAGAAACTTAACATACATATCACAAAGAACATTATACTCCAAAATCAAAGCTAAGTTTCTGACTTAAACCATGTTTTTTAGCAATTATCATACTACATTATATTCAAGACTATGATCCTATTCAAAGTAGATTGAACAAATACACGACTACGTTGCTACGCGCTAATTGGCTAATTTCCTATCCAATCAGCGCCTGATCGATTCTTTGAGAACAGGGTTGGAAAATTCTCGTATTGTTGTTAGCTGCATGCTGATTGGCTGAATCTAATCCAGTCGATTACGTGAATTACTACTATCCAGAAGCTTCTCATGTAAATGTTATAAAGAAACTAACGTTGTATCTTTTTTGGCCTTCGCCTTCACCTTTGGCTTCTTATTTCCACCTAACCTTGCTATTTTGGAATATAATCTTTTCCTATTCAACCGTGTTTTTGATTCTTTGGAACTTGTCCAGTGTATTGTGTGGTCAAAGAATACACTAAGCAATAGGATTTAGCTGGGAATATATCTAAGCAGCGGTTACAACAAACAGATAAAACATAAAACCGTATACCTACCTTTACAGAATATTCATAAAATGGTTGACCCCAAATTAAAGTACCCGGTGGAAGTCTTGGCTTTAATCTAGGTATTACTTGATCTAAGTTATTCCATTGATCCCCGTCTGTAGTGCAATATGTATTCTTTTACAAAATTGATAAGGAAGACAAAAGATTACATAATATATTAACAAACATAATAATAATAATAATCTGTATATATTCATAAAACCAATCAACGAACATGTAATTTGTGAATGGGATGGGCAAATGATCAAGTGCACACCTACTCCCCCAAAGTGGATCTCTTTCGTATGCACCAACCTAGTTTGAGTTCCCCCGAATGGTTAGTAGGTTTGGGTCTCGTTGATTTCGCTAACAACTCCTCTGCTGTGAGAATACAGTGGTTAAGATTTCACTGGCAGTGGTTATATATGCGTGACCCTTATAAGAGCATTTCGAGGATTCCTAATTCTTGACTGTACTAGCGCATCCTACGGGCTCATGGGCTAAAGTACATTTGATTTGATCTTCAGGAGAACCAGAAAATCGAATACTTCACCATAAACCTCTACCCGGTTTCTAATTTCTTAAGGAAACTGTTATTCTTGAGTTCGGATAGATATTGTGAATGAGAGATATGTAAAACAACTTTATATCCAAGATTGGATTACGGACGGGAAATAAAGGTATTGACAGATGTATGCATGCTCTTGATATTCTGAAAGGGTCTGAGGAATGAAGGAATTATAAATTCATTCAGAGTAAGAAGACTTTGGGAAAACTCTATTTAACTAAATTTATTTACAAAATATACACGCAGAATGTTTGAAACATCCATTTTCAAAAAAAGCAGATTATTGACTGTACTTTTTCATATCCCTTTCGGTTTTGAATATATTCCGATCGCGCCATACATTTTGATCTCAAAACACTATTCTATCTGTCTTCCTTTCTCTCTCTCTCTCTCTCTCTCTGGTAACAACTTCTATGTCAGATTACGGTGCATACCACCACGTGTACACCACTTTGATATTGTGTTGAATTTTTTTAGTAAACTCAAACTGACTACTATATAAAATTAAGTAGTCATTAAAAATAGATAAAAAAAACCACATTTTTTTTACTTACTATCGTACCAAATCCACGTGAATAAATAAACATTGATTGAGCTGGTTCAGAGTTGTATGCAATCGATGGATTACCGCATATTAAAACAATTCGACTATCACGTAAAGTATCTAAATGATGTAAATGTGCATGTGTAAATTGTGTAAGACGTATATTTGGACGATATTCTGATGGTAACATATTAGGTGATGTACAATGCTCATTATCCTGGGTTTTTTTTAAAAAATAAATGAACTCAGTAAACAAACGAGAAAAGGGAAAGAAAATTGATAGAGTGAAAGGTGATATGAGAAAAACAAAATATTTTTTTTAATGATTGTTAAATATAACGTTAGATACCCTGAAATTCGCTTAGAAACGGTCCTAATTTTGGATTTTTATTATGTTTTCGCGCATCAGTCGCTTGGTTGACCTTGAGATTACATTTCCCATTTTGTAAAATCATTGACTGGTCATTGGTTGATAGATTAATTCAGTGCGTTATTTTGTGGCCCTCAAGAGGACGTTGATTTGTGTGCTTAGCAACCTCGTATTTTCTGGGGATTTGAAGAATCCACTCTCTAAGGCTTATTAAAACTTTTTGATTTTGTTAGCTGGGGCTGGGGGAACGGATTAGAATATTTGTCTTTGTTCAGTTTACCAAGTAAGGTGAAATCTTAGTACTTCACACATATCAACTGACCACCATATCGATTGACGACGAAGGTTTTTAGAAACATTTATCATTCTAAACTTGAATTAATACTTGAGCAGCAGCTAAAACTAATGCAGATGTTGAAAGATATGAAGATTCCCTCTTCTACACAGCATACCTCATCTAATGCAACCACAGCAGCATCAGTAAACTGCATCGCAAATAACATTGCTGAGTTTCATTATGATCCTGATGCTAATGTTGCTTTTGACATGTGGTCCCAGAGTGGCAAAGATCTATTTACGTTTGATTTTGCCAATCCAGATGATGTTTGGAAGGTTCGGCTGCTACTTCGAAAGTTGGGTACAAGTGAGCTATACAGGTACTATAATTTGATCCTGCCTTTGAACCCACGAGATCGCACATTTTCTGAGGCGGTTCAGACATTGAGCCAAACACTTTGGCGACAACTCGTCATTGTTTAGTACTCGTTATCGATGTTTGAAGCTAGTTATGAATGAAGACAATGATTTTCTTACGCAAGTGGACATTGTCAATTGTGAACGCTTCCTGTTGAAGTCTTTGTGGGAAGTCCAGTTTAAAGCACTCATCGTAAATTGCCGCCTCCAGTCCCAAAAGTTCAGTGACATAAGAACACGGCTACGGTGTCGATGGGATTAAAATCTTGAACTCATCCTTCGTGACATGGCTGAAATGAATACCAATGCCTCGTTAATCTGCAACGAGACACGACTATGGTCCATAAAGGTGAGTCTAGTCGCTCTGAAGTGCATTTAGTACAGCAGACACTCAACCAGAATAAATGTGCCCCTGCCACTCCCAGTCCATCCCACTCCTGCTCAGTCCGGGAGACGAAAACGGATCTCCCTACTCCTTGCTGGTACTGTGGTGCATGGCACTATATGCGAAACTGCCCATTTAGGCAACATCGATGCAGGAAGTGTAAGGCCGTGGGGCTATAAAGATGGTTTTCGTCCAAAAAGGAAGGTGAACCGACCAAGAGGTACCAAAAAGACTGGTTCTAGATTCGGTACCGCTTCTTTGAGCCTAGTATCTTCCTATCAAAGCTCTTCATCATTACTCTTAATATCAATGAGCATTCGTTTAGATTACAGATAGATACGAGATCCGATTTCCAAATCTTCCCACGTAGAATTTGGACCAAAATGGACAGCCAAAGCCTGCAGCGGACAACACAAAAGCCCCGTACTGCATGTGGTAATTACCTTCGCCTGTTAGGAAAACTGTAATGTCCAGTTATTTTCCGAGATATGTGGTGCACTGCGGTATGTTATATAACGCCAGCATATGTAAATTCGCTTCGTTCAGATTGGTTTGACCAGCTAAAATTAGCTAATGTTCCGTTAAATACCAGAAACCACCTGACATTACGAACACATGATCCTGAAACATCTACGAGGAAGTTAATGACGCAGTTTTCAACCATTTCCCAACCTAGATTGAGTCAGTATTCTGCAATGAAAGCAACCCTTCGGTTGACACCTGTGACTAAGCCTGTTTTCCGTCCAAAGTGCGTTTCAATTGACAAGCATATCATATATTTCGTTTATTAAATCATTGTTCAAAAAGTTGAACAATGATAAAACCTAAGGGAACAAAAGTTACAGTTCATATAGCTTCGGTTAGGTCATCATGATAGGCAAGTTCGACTATCACGTCAAGGCAACAGCTACTGTCGTGCATAACATTTATAAATAATTGGTAAAGTAATGATCAAGTAGAAATTACCAACAATAAATAACTTACACCTAATAATCCATGAATAATTGCTGAACGATTAATGGATAATAAAGGCCAAGGAATAGAACTACGTTCAATTGTTGGAATCTTCAAAGTAGGGAGAGAGAGAGCGAGAAAGAGAGGGAGAAAAACATTAAGTGAAAAGCTTGAATGAGTGACGAGAATTGATCATGTCTGTTTTTGAGATTTGAGATTCAAAAGATTTATTGGATAGTTTGACAGACGATTATTTCGACAACTGAAGTGTATAAATCATCGTGGGGTCTTCAAATGACATCAGATAGAAACACATGACAGATGATTTTCATCAGAACCATTGTTTACTTATTAACAAAACTCTAATTCCACCTTAAGTCCAATGACGCCGGTGCATCCATTCGTTGAGCTATCTCAAATCCTAATCTTCTGGAATCGTCAGCACCTCTACCTTTGTCTTTCTAACCTTATCTCACTGAATTATACTTCTTCAATAATATCTTCAAACCCTAGTCTTTTTCATTACCATTAATAATACCTCTACTATCTTTATCACTATGGGATTTAATTTGACATTTGCGTCTCTGTGCTGCTAATGTGGTAGTATGGCAACATGAACTTATGTAGAAACGTACGAAGTTCTACGTTGCAACTGACCAATTGGGTTTAATGCCAGTACCATGCCACGATAAACGAATAGGATCTGGCATGAGATTAACGAAACCATCCCGTAAAAAGATTAAGTCACTTAAAAAAATACGCTAACCATAATAAATAATTTAAACTAATGCAGAGACAAGAATGAACACCAGTTGAGTAGAACTGGAAAGGAGAGTCCAGGATACAGTAAGATTGGAGAATGCTGGTCGGTGGCCTATATATATATATGTTCCATTCGAGGATAAAAGGTGTAGGGCTGTAAGTAGGTATGCTTTGATACAATCACGTATAATTCAAATCCTAACAAGAAATAATCGGGACGAAAATTCACTGTAACACAACAACAATACCGAAGGTCCCACGTTCGAATCCTGTGAGGTGCAGGAGTCGTGGATGCGCACTGCCTCTGATGAGTTCCATACACAGGACGAAACGGCCGTCTTTCAGTGCTTCCAAGTTTCTAACGATGGTGATCTAACAATGATTGATTGATGATTTCAAATGTGTAAAAAACACAAATCTGCAAAGCTCTGCCTGAAAATACCGTAACAATGCTCACTAGTGACTAACTTCGTGAGGAAATGCTCAGAGTTCTAGTTGAGAAGACGTGACCAATAGAGTTCAACCCTGTTGAGTGTAGGCAGCACTAACTACCAAAGACAAATGAGTGAGGTCGCGCGAAATCCCTATATCAATCAGAATTAGACATTAACACCGTTGGATACCGAAGGTCCCGGGTTCGAATCCCACGAGGTGCATGAGTCGTGAATGCGCACTGCCTTTGATGAGTAGTCCCATACACAGGACAAAATGGCCGTTTTTCAGTACTTCCAGGTTTCTAATGGTGATGGTCTAACAATGACTGATAGATTGATGATTTCAAATGTGTAAAAACATTTTTTTTTAAAAAAATTCACAGAATACTTTCTTACCTGCCATTTTTCTAAACATGCTTTATATAATTCCATTTGTCTATCTTCCATAAGTTGTGGATTTTGTGAGAATGTTAACAATTTCGATAAAGCTACACATTGATGTTCAGCAAAACTAAAGAAGTAAGAAAATGTTAAACCAAACAAGAAAATGAATTTCACTAAAAAGCGAAATTTTAATTATGAAATTAAATGTAAAATTAACCATATAATTAATATGTGTATTATAGTTGAAATGTATTCAGTCGGCTGTGTGACTGATAAAATATGACATTTTGATCATTACTACCAATCAAGCATAACAGGTTAACACTGAGACACGATTGTACAAATCATTCAACTGCATCACAAAGTAAGCCCTTATTTAAGAATCTTCAAGGCTGAACGACAAGAAATGGACCAAAAAGAACACATTGCACCGACAGTTGGAGACAGTCATGAATAAACAAAACGAACAATACTTGTAAACAACTGGAAAGCAGAATCGAGGGAAAAAGTTGATTCGAGACTGCTGCTGGTAGTCATTCAATACGCCACGAGGTGTAACATGCGTAAATAAGTAAGTTTTAATAAGCTTTTTTGTCATCCTGAAGAATTGATAGTATTCCCCACATACCTCAGTGTAGATGACAGCAACCAGAGTTCGTTTTGTTTCGCTCTTTCAACATCCTTTCCATGCATCAAACATTCATAACACAGATGCATTGTTTACAAAGTTAAAACAATGAATAGCGAGTGTTTCATATGAGCTTAAACCTGACTGACTGATGGATGGATGAATGTGTATAGAAAGATTTATAGATCAATATTCAAATAAATCAGTTAGTCAGTCAGTCAGATGCAACGTAGAACTTCGTACGTATGTACATCAGTTCATGTCGTCATACCACATCAGCACAGAGATACAACTGTCAATTCAAATCCAATAGTAGAAGAGGTTGTAAAAGTATTAAGAAGTAATCGGAGAGGTTAGGATTAGAAGAAGTATGATTCAGAGAGAAAAGTTTAGAAAGTCAAAACTAGAGGGGTTGAAGAATCCAGAAGTTTACGATTTGAGAGAACACAAAGAATAAATGCACCGGTGTCACTGCAAACGGTTCTGAGCCATCTAACCATCACCCGACCGAAGCTGCTACCTTGACGTGGTGGTTGGGCTTAACTATCGTCACGACCCAGCCGAGCTATACTGGCTGCAACATATGTTCCTGAAGGTTCTACCATGCCAGGCAGGTCGATTGCAGAACGACGAGATAAAAGCAGCTACTCAAGGTCTGAGGGTGAAGTCGTACTGCTGACTTTAGAGAGGTGTCACAGCAGTAAGGTGTTTCCCTCGAACAACCAGCATCTGCAGCGATGCTACCTTCTCACAAGGACACAACGGTTAGAAAAGGTCGACCCTATAAATGTCACACCTCACCTTACATCATGGATTTCCGTCTCCGGCGGTAAGGCTGCCCAATAAGGGCTTTTAAGAGAGGAGCTATTACTCAAAAAACCTCTCATAAGAAGACCGTGTGTGACCAGCCTCAAGCAGTTGTCCCCTGATCTCTGCGGTCACGCACTCAGGTCTCTAAGAACAACATTAATCAATTTTCCTTTTCAGGTTCCTCAAGAAACAACCTTCCACGGTGTGAGCAGCCGGGAAGTGACAACCGCCCTCATACTCATCACAGCACACGAGACCAAATTGGTCAAAATCAAATGCTTTCTGACTGACTGACATCTAACCATCGATTATTATCATCTCACGGACCCCAACCAAATAGACTACACCTACCAACATGGCTAAGTCCACTCGTCAATGATTTCATGGATTTCTGCAATGTTTTGGTTTGGTCGCCGCCCCTAACTATCCTCCAACCTACTCCCCTACACCACAAAACATAGCTCGTCGAGGCAATTGGTGGTTAGCCATACGCAGCACATGTGTCCCAACCATCTCAAATTCAAATAAATCTGTGCATATCATAAAAACACACAAACACACAGACAGACAGACACACTTACTCTTCATTCATTCCTTGAATAAATTCCATAAATTTTTCATCTTGTTCAATTACATCCATATGACATATTCGTAAGATATCCATTTTCAATGAGGATTGTTCCATTTTCAATTGATTTAATTTTTCATTGATATTTAAAAAATGTTTAATAATTAAACCAATAGCACCACCACTGGTCGATTGATTGTGATTACCAGCGTCAACTAAATCGTCATCCATGAGAATACCAAATTTTCGATTAACTTCAGTATCATGAACAAGGTCAGTGCTACTGGTGATTGTTTGATGTTGTGGTTGATGCAATTGATTAGGAAATTTACGTGTTTTTTGTCGAAAATTTGATTTTTGATCTATGCAATCGGAATGATTGTTTCTAGCCGATGAAGTTTTGGATGACTTAGGTGCTGGTAAACAACCAGCCATTCTATTTAATGAAGATTGTAAATTTTTACACACTAAATACCTTTAAAAGGAGCAGAAGAAGAAGAAAGGAAAAAAAGAAGTGAAACAATCATTTTGTAGGATGAACAATTTTTAGTTTGTTAGAACAGTGAGAAGACGTCAATTGATCTGAACAATCTGGTCACAACACATACAGACACTACTTGTCAAGGTATTTTATATGAAGATGAATAAAAGGTCAATTAAATAAAAGTTCAAATAGTAGACATAAGGTGATAATTGTAAAACTAAATGAAAGAGAGAAAATTAACATGTAATATGAAAAGAATAATAAGAGGGGTAGGAAAATTGTCACATTACTCCCACTAGGCTTAAAGATTACTGTTAGTGGGACATAGATGGAATTAAAGCACGACTAGGTTGCTGCGCGCTGATTGGCTAAATTCTGATATCACCTTATTGTCTAGAGAAACGTACAACTTGCTGGGAAAACCGCCAATGAAGCCATCTAAGAAAACAGCTAAAAGCGATTCAGGTAGTGTGTTAAAACTGGTTGGTGAGATGCAGTGTGAATTTTCCTTCATCGGAAAAAAATGTACAGGGATATGCTATCTGACAGAACGGCCAAACCTTGATCTTCTTGGTCTAGATATGCTAGAAAAACTAGGAATAATGGATGTACCCATAAACAGTGTCTGCAGCGTATCGTGTTCATTATTGGACACCCCGATACTTAAAAAGAAGACAGGTGAAAGGTTACAAGATAAACGAAAGAGGAAGTCAGCCTCTGTTTCTCAGAATAGCCTTGGCCGCTGTACGAATCTGAAAGCTAACCTAGCAGTGAAAGCAGATGCCAAACCTACTTCACGTCCGAGACGCCCTATACCATATGCTGTTCATGAGCCTCAACAAAACATATCGGTGGGGAAGTAGCCCGGTCGACGGTTGTTTAAAGATATGGTTCCTACAAAGCAGGCGGCTCGTAAGAGTACGGGTGGCAAGGCACCCAGGAAGCAGTTGGACCCTAGCACCAGATCCTACGAATCTTCTCAAAGGGGAGGTGTTAGTGGGACATGGAATTAAAGCATGACTACGTT